CCCCAAAACCCCAAAACCCCAAAACCCCTTCTAGCTTTATTAACTTGGTCAATTTGGAATAATATAAGTTTTAATATTTAATAATTTTATTCAATCATTAAATCAAAATTAAGAGAACCTATAATCTTTTTTGCTATAGATTTTATAGTTAAATTTATTAAATCATTTGTAAAGTTCTCAAGCCTTTATTACTCTGTTAATCTTGACACAGGCATTGCAGAAATAGGTTAAGTTTTCATAGTCAGCCCAGAGATACTCATAGGGATCTTCATGACTGTACCTTTCATCAGTACAGCTAGGGAAAGCACGACCATTGCAAGCCCAAGTGGTGTAGGCTGGTTCAGCCACTTTTAATTCTGCAAAAGTTATCTCTTTAAGTTCATGTATATGTGTTTGGGTATAATAAAGTGAGCAGAAAGCACAGAGATCGAATTTGCACTATGCACAATGGAAAATTTTTTCATCATCAACAGTTCTCCATTCATTTTCGCCGTATCCACTTCTGCAGTTTGCAAAGTTTTTACCAGTACAGTACCAATTCTTACTTTCATCGTTATCCTTCTCTCTCAAGTGAAATAAGGTAGTTTTAACTAGTTGATTTTTGTGAAGTTTAATGTTAGCAGTTTCTTTAGGCATAGTAGTAAGCATCATTAACTTTATTTCTCCTAATTTTGCAGTAAAAATAGATTCAGTTGCACTTTGCTTTTCTATTATCTTTTGCTATCTTAATTCAGCTTATGTTACTTCATCTTAGAAAATTTTCTATAAAGTGTTAACTCTTTCCTTTAATACGTTAAATCTTTCGTCCATTGGATCTTTGAACTCCTTAATCTTTTCAAGATCTTATCCGGTTAAAAGATAAACATTCATTTGAGCATAATCCTATCTTATCTTTTTTGGAATTAGATAATGATTCTCAGATATTAGAGATGCCATTTCTTAATAACTTGCTTATTCTTGATTTTCGTTAACTCTATCAAAGGTACTGGAAATGATAGCAATTAGTAAATTTAGCATGACAATCATATCTAAGATTGTACAAAGAATCCAGAATATCCATACAAGTGGAACAGCTACTTCTCCAAATACTGAGGTGTCATAGCCTCCGAGAATCATAGAATAAGCGAAAAGTACTGCATATACAAATGATGATGTAAATTAATTTTCCTCTACATTACCCCATGATATTCTTAAGAATGAGTCTCCGAAAGCAGCAACAGTAATGAGCAAAACGAACAAGAAAATACCCATATCATATATAACTTCAACTATCATTCTGATCAAGTAACCAGTCTACTTAAAAATTCTAAGACTTGATAAGAATTTAAGCCACATTAAAAATGTTGAGATAGCTAGAACACATCTATTCAAATCAACGTCGATTTCTACTCCATTGTACTGAGCAAATTAAAATCCATGCAAAATCGCTACTCCAGTTGGAGCCAATAAATCTATGTAATTCCAAACAGAATAGAGATACTGTAGTCCAATGTTGTAAATTTATCTTATTTCATTGAATAAGAAATAGGCGCACATACATAGCTAGAATATGGCAAAGATGTAATTAGCTAAGATGTAGTCCTCATCTACAATTCTGTATTCATAGATAACATTCATGTAAACAACAAAGGAAATGTGGAATAGAGTGAAGGGCAAAATTAAGAACATTAAAAGGAAATTTCTGACAATAGGAAAGTTGAAGTCAATCATTGTTTTTATTGCTCTATTGTCAAAAATTTCATATGTCTCTGCCTACGCTAATCCTTTAAAAACTTTTATGAAATCTGGATCTAAGTAATGATATGAGCCTGGAATGTCTAATAGTTAAATACGGATTTTAGCTTCTGAAGGAGTAGCATTTAGCATTCTTTATTTGACTTTAGATCGTTCCATGCAAACGCTACTGGTAATAATCTCATTCTCTATTTAACCTTCATCCATCTCCTCCATGACATGAGTTTAAATAAATCTTGTCTCTAAGTATTCTAGGAATTCTGGGAACTCTTACTCTACCATAACATGAAGTGATCCTTTGATAGCTCTAGAATGGTGGTCAATGGGATACATACCGAGATATTAAAGAACTGAGAAAACACTCTTAAAGTCTTTTTAATTTAACTCCAAACTAAGATCAAATGGTGAAGCTTAATTGAAATTTTGTAGAAAAGGTATGTGATATACTATTGATTCTGAAGTATGGCAAGTTTTAAAGAGTTTTGCTACCTTATCTTGAGACTCAAAAAGTTTGTGTAAAATTGTATTACCTCCTGGCAAGATATTGTAAATCATAAATTCTATCATATCTGGTTGAATTTGCTTTAATTTTATGTTTTTCTTTTTCATTTGATCCATCAAACTCCAATGCAAAAATGTGAAACTATGCTCATAATATTCAAAGTTATGCTAGTCAACGGTAATTAATTCCTTGTAAAAAGAGTGATGATCTCTATAACCATGAAGATAGTAGAGTGTCTTGTACTTCTGATACATTCTCTTCAAGCGAGATAAGATATCTTGCTTTAGGTCACATCTTAATCCATAATAGGGCCACTCTCTCCATTCTTCTCCTGAAATTTCGTTGAAGAGAGGTCTATAATTATAAGCGATCACACTATAGTCTCTTATTCTAACAATTTTTTCATATCCCTCTATATCTGTAAATATAAAGCTTTCACAATCTATCCACTTAAATCTGTTCATAAGTTAGACTTGAGTTTCATTAGGATTTATATATAATAGATCCTCTGGGATGATTGAATGAATTTCTCCAGTGTCACTATACTTAAGTAGAAATCTTTTATTCTTCTTAGCATATCTTATATAAAGCTTGAAATCAATAGTAAAAGGTTCAAGTTTTCCAACTGTATTTGGATTGTCAAAAGAATAAGGATAGTCTGTAATTTATCTTATAAGTTCCCACTGCATAGTGGTTCCACCAAGAGCACTGGAACCTAAAGTATTATTATTATTATTATCATAGTTTTCTTTAAGTTTGTATATGAATATTCTTTGAAATTCAAACTGAACTATCATTCTATCAGTTTATTCATTGATGAACATTTTTTATTCATGAAATTTGGGAAATACGAAATCAAGCATTACCTTTACTGTTTTAGAGTCAATGATATCAAGCAGTAAGAATCTTTTGAATGAATGAGTACTGGCTTCAATTACTGGAATTTAGCCTTTGAATGAAGTAGCGAGTTAAATACTGGTGAAAAACTGTGTATCATCATAATTTTTCTCGTCCTCATTCGAGAACATTATTGCTCGATCTTTGCTTAAAGTAAATTTTGTAAAGTTAGTGTAATCGTGATCAGCCAATTCATAAGAACAGAGGTATTTTCCATTTGCTACATCCCATGTCACTAATTCACCTTTCTATCTGAGTGCTATCAGTTTGTGATCAATTACTTTATGGAATATGTATTCACTAAGATCACCCATCCCCATGAATTTGTTGATGTTTGTATGAAGATATGGTAAGACAATGATACTTTGAACAGATTTCATGAAGCAAATTCTAGAAATATCTGAGTCAAAGTAGATATTTGTATAAGCTCCAATGTCTTCTTCCTTTAAGAGAAGCATTTTTATTTCATTAGTCTATGAAAGTGATATGGTATCAATCATTTTAAGTCCTCTTTAAGTGGAGTTAGTTGATTCAAGGCATAGTGCATAATTAATAAATCTGTTGAATAAGATAAATCCTTAGCAGTTAACTTCTGCAGCCTTACTGGTTTTCTTTTATTTAAGATCTAGTATAAGAGCATCTTGCTTGTTGAACAGAATAATATGGTTAGCAACATCGAGAGAAAAGGCTGAATGATATTCGCTTAGATAGTGTCCCTAGTCATTCTAAACATTGATGTCTTAGATCTTCGTAAAGATTACTTTATCAGTTTTTGTTAAGTTATAGAGGTAGAATTTGAAGTAACAGTAGACAACCAATTTATATCCATCTGATCTGTTTGATTTAGGAGTCTACAATTATACGATTTCAAGATAATACTTATCTTTTAACTTTGTATCATGCTCAATCATTTACATCTCATTAAAAATCACGACTCTGCTCAAACCATCATGAAGTACTAGATAAGCATCACTATCATCATTTGTGTCTCCAATTTCCAAATATTTTACTGGAGCAAATGGCAAAGTCATATTTTTTTCTGCTTCGATAATTTTATCCTATCTATCAATAAACTTCGAAATATCTGTGTAGACTGCCAAACTTTCAAGGAAAACGCAAGACTTGTAGTCGTTTTGATAAAGAGGTTTTTGGAAGAATAGCTGAGTAATATTTGATTCAAACTATATATGATTAACCCACCGCCAAGCAATGAGATCGAAGGCAGAAACAAAGTTTTAATGTGCAATAAAGCAAATAGTTTGAGTTCCAACCATAATCATATGGAAGGAAGAGAATAATTTTGCATATCTTTCTGAAATTTTCAAGGGGATGACGCTCATGTTAAAATTGTCCCTCTCTGGAATCTCTTCTGCTTGTTCGAAAGAGAGGACTGATATATCTTAGTGCTTAAGGCTGAAATATTTGTCATCAAGACTCCTGAAATAAAATGTGTGATCGCTCATTCCAACTTCAGTGAAATGCACTATATAGTATTAAAAACATGTTGGGATTACTCTCAGGTATTTGCTGTTTAAAAATCATGTTGAAATATATGTCTACCATCCCAGAATTTCTCTTAGCTATAGCATATAGCAGACTTTCATTCGAGCCACTAAAGTTTTTATTCATTACTCTGAAGCTGCACTAGTCAATAGGGTCATAGCTGTAACCGACAGGTCTTGGAAATAAATCTCTTGCCTGACTAACTCTTATAATGAACTTAGAAAGATTTTCAGGCTCCTAAGAGACATCTAGATAGTTAAAGTCTAGCAAGTTATCCTTTGTTTCAAATGCAACAATCATTTGAAAGTAACTAGAGTAGTCAGGAACACGATAAAAGTTCATCGGTATGACACTTTTTATTGGTAACTCACATTGATAAGTTTCTGACATTAAACCTTCTATACTGCCCAAATCAATCTCAGGCTTGTAAGCATTCACTTCTGGGGTGACATTAGAATAGAAAACTATCTTATTATCATTGTAGATGATGACCAAATAGTTAAGATGAAGCAAGCAACTTTTGACTAAAAACGTTATAAATAAATTATGATCAGAAAAACATACTGTTCTAAGGATCTTTGAAGCCTTTGACTTTGGAGACTACCTTATTGTCAACTAACAGAAAAAAAATGTTTAAAACATCTGGAGAGCCTTCCTCTATGAATAGAAGATAATCAAAGGTAACATTCCAAACTTTAATTTTTTCTATGAAAGGATGAGTTGAAGTGTGTCATTACAGTTTAAAGATGTCTAAAAAACTAGTTTTCTTGTATATGTACTCCAAACTTAAAGCAAATATTCTGCACCTCCAAACGCTTTTCTGACCTTTTCTTGCATTATCTGCACAAGAACTGGTATATTTTACATTTGCTCACTGTAGTAGCAAGTATCAACAATCTTATATAAATCTAAAGTATTTTTGTAAGTGTAATAAATTTTAATGCTTACTTTATAAGTCAATATAATAGGAGACATCTCTAAAATAATCATCTGCTTTACACCCTAGGGAGTTTTAATCAGTTGCTTCTAACCAACTATGGCTAGACATGATCTTTGAGTTGTTCATTAGGTCTAGCTTAGCTCTAATCTTATTATTTTTTTTGCTCATAACTTATATTTTAAGTTTTTTTCGGTTCAGTATTTTTATGATTTATTTATGAATTAATTACCTAGTAGTTTAATATCAACATTTCCAAACTGAGGTAAGTAATTTCTTGTAGTGATCTGACGAATATTTCTTTATTAATTTTCCTTATTGCCTATTTAATATCTCATTACGGGGTTTTGGGGTTTTGGGGTTTCGTAATGTCAGTATCAATTTTTGTCTTTGATTTGGATAATA